GAATTACCCTGTGACCCAGCAAATCCATTCTTAGGTATATACGCAAGAAAATTGAAAGCAGGCATTCAGGCAGATATTTGTACACCCACATTCATAGCATTATCCACAATAGTCAAAGGGTGGAAGAAACTCAAATATCCATGAACAAATGAGTGGATATACACAATGTGGTTCATTGATCCCTGATCAGGAAGCAGTGAGAGAACCACCTGAGCTTATGTTTCCAGGACATGGATTGGGGTGGGACTGGAAGTGGATTGGCATCCCCTAAAGTGGAAGCCCCACTATAAGTCAGTGCCCTGTAGTGGCATCTGCATTGTGCCCCTCAGCACCCAACGCCCCTTCTGGATCTGGCACCCCAGTTTTTTGTGGAAGATGCCCCTTCCCCACACTCAGTCCATGGGGTTCCAGGACCCCACTGCTGACTCAGCCCCATCAATCAGAGTGTTTCCCTCCCCCTGGCCACAATGATTAGTTCAGGAATGGTCATGTGACTCAAGTGGGACCAATGAGAGTCATCCCTAGGACTTTGAAATATAAGCAGGGTGTAAGGGTGTAAGCCTGGAGCTGCCAAAAATCATTTAGCCATCCAAAAGTGGAGCTTGTGTGAAAATGAAACCAAAACAGAAGACAGCTGATCCCAGAGAGAAATATTCATGCCTTGAATCTTGGTTCATGCCTTGACAATATTGTTTAAGCACCTGGATCCAGGCATGCCTGACTCAGGAAGTCTTTCAGTTTTCCTGTGTTGTTTTTTGTTTTTGTTTTCAAAGATTTTATTGGGGAATTGGGGGAGGGAACAGCGTTGGGGAATAGGGGAAGGGGAACAGACAAGTTGCTGTCCTTTTGTTCTTCAGTCTAGTTGTGGAGGACGTCGCATTGTGTTCTTCCCGGCTGAGGCAGATCGGTCGCTGGCCATTGAACAGCCGCTCACGGCAGCTCATGGCAGCTCACGGCAGCTGCTGGTGGCTCACGCTGTCTGCCACTCACGGTAGCTTACTGCAGCCCACTGAAGCCTACGCTGTAACTGGCAACTCATGGCAGCCCAGCTCCAGGTCGACCTGTTGTTCACCATCTTAGCTGTAGAGGGCGCAGTGTCACTGTCCCTCCAGTGGGATCCGAACTGGGACCCTGCTGCTCAGAGCTGGCATCCCAAGCTAGCTCTCAATCAATGCGCCACTCGGGCGGCCCTGTTTTGTTTTGTTTTGCTTTGTTTTTTTAATTTAAGCTAATCTGAGTCATGATTTCAGTCCTTCATACACCAAGAGTTTTGACTGACAGGGTCCCTTTTGTTTTCACTCCAACACTTTTCACAAGTAACATGACCTTCAAAACTCATGGCAAGGCAGCCGGGTGGCTTAGTTGGTCGCAGTGCAAGCTCTGAGAGACAAGGTTGCCGGTTCAACTCCCAAGTGGGCCAGTGAGATGTGCCCTCTGCAACTAGATTGAAGACAATGACTTAAGCTGAGCTGCTGCTGAACTGCTGGTGGGCAGCTGGATGGCTCAGTTAATTAGAGCGCGTGCTCTTAACAACAAGGTTGTCGGTTCAACTCCCTCATGGGATGGTGAGCTGTGACCCCTGCAACTAGATTGAAAACGGCGACTGAACTTGGAGCTGAGCTGTGCCCTCCACAACTAAGATTGAAGGACAACAACTTGACTTGGAGCTGATGGGTCCTGGGAAAAACACACTGTTCCTCAATAAAGTTAAAAAAAAAACCTCATGGTAACAGGTTCTAAAAGGTTGAAAAAAAAAATGGAATAAGTTCTCCAGTTGTAAGCTTAATGGATAAGCTAATGGCAGTGGAAAGTGCCCTGGATTCAGTCAGAAACCTGGGCCAGCTGCTGACTGGCTGACCAGCTGAGTGGCCATAAGCTTATCCACATCTGCAAGACTGACAAGAGATGAGTCCGGGGAGGTGCCAAGTTGTGCAGTCTGTGTTTATCCTGCTCATCATCCTCTTGACATTTTGAGGTTGCTACAGACAGTTGTATGGGCCCCAGGTGTTTCCTGCTTTTGTGGCGATCCTCAGACCAAGCTCTTCCTGGAAATGGGTGAGTTGGGGGAGGACTTCCTTCAACTGCCCAGGAAGACTGATCAAACCCCACTGGACCCTGAAAAAGAGGGGAAAGTGCCATCTTCTGTTTCCCAGAGGTTTACTGCCCCCCAGAGGGTCTCTTGATAAATTAATTACTTCCTACCTACCCAGACTCTTAAAAGGCTCCACTACCTCATCACGCATACCCGCAGAAATGACCAGCGCCAACCATTGGTCACTCCCCGCAGCCCAGCCGGAAAACATTAGTTTCTGAATAGCAAGCTCAAGTGTTCCCAAATTCTAAAACTCAACTTCTTTGCTCACAGCCATTTAACCCTTAGTTTGCACACAATGGTAACCCACTTGGTTCTCTACTTTCCCAGGTCCCAGAGGCTGACACTGATGATATGATAATATTAATATAATATAATAATAGTAATAACCATTATTACTAATTAATAAGTGTTAATATTTATTGAGTGCTTATTTGAAACCAGACACCGTTCTGGTTCTAAACACTTTATATTATCGCATTTAATCCTTACTACAACTCTCTAGGACAGTACAAGTGCTGAAGGCTTGAAATGACCTCTTCATGTGTTACAGGGCTGGAAACGCACCCCAAGGGGCATCCAGTTCCAACTGATTGTCCCCAAAGCCCTGATCACATGGAATTTGGGTTTTGGGGGGAACCCCCATTTCAAATATTCCTGTTCTCTCTTGGAGCACTCTTTATTTTGTTGTCTCCCGATACTTATTACCTGATGACATGTCATTTATCTAGAGTGTCAGTTCAACGAGGGCTGGAAATTTTGTTCACTGCGGATCCCCACTGCCTAGTCCAGAGTGTGCACTCAAAACATGTAAACAGACAATGTTGTTGTTGTTATTTTAGCAAGACAAATGGGACTGCCCACACACGCTCGCCTCCTCCACCCCGCTTCCTCCCGCCCCCCTTCCTCCCGACCCTCCAAATATCAAGCAGTCACTGTTGCCACCTACCTATCAAAGGCTGCATGGCAAAATCCCCAGCTTCAGGCTGGATAAGCACAGATGGT